ATCCTATAAAAGCATATTTGCCTCTTACCCAAAATTGCTCATGAACCCTATGACAAATTGTGTTTTTCACCTTTTTCGCATGGATTAAAACATTTATGGATTCTTAGATACTAACAAGATAAAATATATAATAGAAGGCTCAATCGAGTTTCAAATACTCCCATTGATGAATTTCGTAAGGTTGTCCACAATTAGGGTTTGTTCTAATAGACTGAAATCAGCTGAACTGAACTGAAATGAAATGAATAATTTATAAGAGAAGGAAATTAGAAGTTGAACTAAACTAAACGTATGAGAACAAGACCTTACTTTGTAATTATTGTGGATATATTATTTATGGTTGGAGATATACCTAACTATATTTAATAAAGATAACTTTCATCTACAACTCTCATCCTCAAACTTAAGGTTTAGCTTAACACTAGTTTTGTACCCCGTGCTATGCCCATGTTGTTATATATCATTCATAGACTAATAATAATGTTGGTTGGAACTGGGAATGTTCGATTTAATACATTATTTCGGAAAAATTGCCCACAATAATCCGACCTTTGGGCCGTCCGCCCAAAATAATTCCACCTTTGGATTATTTTTAAATAATCCGACCTTTTTACTCGATCCGCTCTAAATGGTCCCGAGTGACTAGTAACCTGTTGAAGAGGTAATTTTTTTTATTAAATTTAATTTACACGTGTCACAACTTGATTTGTCCAAAATTAAAAAAAAAATAACAAAAAAAAATTCAAAGTTTCAGCCACCACGCCATCCCCGCCGCCACCCAAACCCAGAACCACCAGTCCACCACTGCCACGAAAACAGACCCAGCCAACCCACGAACCACCGCCACGGCGCCACCAAACCAGACCCTGGATCCACCGCAACCGAACAAGACCCCCAGCCAAGCAAACCCCAAACCCCCTTCGAAAATTTAAAAACCCACCAAACCAAAACTAATGAAACTGGTTGAAGATAGAGGTTGGTGTGGCCAGATTCGACGTCAAGGGAGGAGTTCGGGATGGGGGACAGGGAAGGTCAGCTTGACCTGTTTAGGGACGGGTAGGGGTTGGGATCGGGATGGGAAAGGGGTTTTCGAGGGTAGGGGGATACCGCGTGAGGGAGGGAGGGGGAGGGTGATGACGTCGTGACACCGGCGTTGGCATCGGTGCTCAGCTATGGAGTGGGTGGCCGGAGCTGCGGGAGGGAATTGGCTCAGCTGTGGGTTGGGTGGCTGGAGCTGCAGGAGGGAAGTTAAAAGGTTGGTGATGGGTTGTTTCTAATTTTTTTTTTCTTTTAAAAAATCTATTTTTTTTATAATTTTATTTTATTTTTATGTTTTTGACCAATCACAGGCCGCCATGTGTTAGGTAACCTGTTATAACAAGTTACATTACCGGTTGGGACAATTTAGAGCGGATCGGGTATAAAGGTCGGATTATTTAAAAATAATCCAAAGGTGGGATTATTTTGGGCGGACGACCCAAAGGTGGGATTATTCCGGGCAATTTTTCCTAAAAAAAATAGCAAAAAATAAATTAAATAAAATAAATGTTCAAAGCCCATTGGGCTGACCCAAACCCAAAACTTAAGGTAAGAGTTGAACATTTCTTGACTCGTAACTTGAAGTGACCCAATCCGAAATGACTCATGAACCGAACCTAATTGACAGGGCTACATAGTAATAAAATTCTATTAGATTGTGAAGTATATTATTTTAACCGATTAATATATACTATAAATGGATATTTTAAGCTTTGAACTACTTCCTTCGCTCCAAAAAATATTTTGATATAAAAAATAAATTTATATGATAATTTTTGAAAATTATAATCTAATAATTTTTTTTGAATAAAATTTTAATTTAACTAGATGAAGCCCGTGCGATGCACGATTTGTTTGAATTTTTTAAAATAATTTTTTAAAATAATTTTTTTTACATATATATTTATGTGCTAAAAATTGTTAAATATTTAGATAAAATTCCTGATATTAAAAGATAATATTTTATATTTAATTAATTTAAAATGGATAATCTCATTCGCTAATTTTGCTTACGTGTCAGTTAAATTATTTAATTCTAAAAGAAATTAATAATCTCGTATTTAATTGGGTACCACTAAAATTTATTATCCTACGTGGTGCGCTGAAAAAATTAAATACTACGTGGCTCTCTAAAAACTCGTGAAAAAACTCCCCTTTATATATATATATATATTAGATTTGTACATCTGATATTTTATCGAAAATAAAACTCTAAACTAACAATTTTATTTTAAAATTATATCCAAATAGAATTCTAAACTAATTTTTTTTATAAGTCTATTTAAATCTATCTAATGTGACGCGACACTTGAAAAAAGTTAGAATGTCAGGTGTCCTTTACTAACAAGAGAGTAAAAAAAGTGAAGGAGAAATAATGTAACAAAATTTTAATTTGTCTACCAAATTTACAAACTTGGTACTTGCCACTTTTGCTTTGTTCATTTCACCTTGTTTCATATAACATCCTCCATATTAGTTAGTATTTTTTTTTTTTTTTTTTTTTTTATCATATCATCTTATTCCCGTACATTTATTGCCAAGTATAGATGAGCACCCAGGCAATCAGCCTGATTTACAAACTTTTGTAAATCAGCACTTTTCGTGGGCCCCATTAGTACTTCATATTATTTTTATATTCGTCTGTGGTTTTTTGCCGTTAAGGACGTTTTGAAGCCGTTAGTGGGGTCCTTTAACGGAGCGGGTAACATCGTTACCAGCAAAATCATATAGGAAAGAAGTAATTTTTAAAGTTCGAAGCTCGACCCTCTAATCGCCATTGTCATCCATGTTGATATCTTTCAGATCCGTCGGAAGATCCGTTCGTGGGTTCGGAGTATGACAGTGGAAAGGTCGTCGATCTTCTCAATTACAGTGCTTACCCCGTGAATCCAGGTTTTTTCAATTCGATTTTTTGATTCCGGTTTGAATGTACTGATTAGATCTGTTTTTGGGTGTGGTGTGTTTCGAGCAGATTGATTTTCTTAATTCAACGCCCAGTAGCTGTGTTGAATAAAATTCGCCAGCGATTCGCAAGGTATGAGTTCTTCGCGCATATGGTGGCTGGTATGAATTATAACACGCCTGAAATTACAAAATTGTTGTCTATTTTGGCTCGGACAAGGTCTCAACAGCTTGAAAGGACATCAATTCTTGGTATCGGGGAAGATTTTTCTCCAGGAAAGAAAAATAAGGGTTCTTCAAAATTGGGAAAGTGATGTTAACGATGTTAACGCATTGACTATGGAAGACGTTAGACATTAGTCAACAGTTTTTTCAGCTAAACTCAACGTCGCTCTGTTTTTACGTGTTTAACCTTACTCATAATAGCAAAAAGACATTACTACCCCCTGATTGACAATATTTGCCAATCAGGCTGATATACTTGTATTTCCCCGATTTCAATGTAGGAAAAAGAGAGGAAGCCCCTTATATCCTACCTTCGAGTGGTCTCTTCAAAATTATCCCGAATAATCAAACCTTTAGAATTCAAAGTAACAGCTTGTACAAAAGATTTCACATCAAGGAGCACTTTCTCAATCAAAACCTTCTCTTCAGTCTTCACCAAAATTAACACCAACCTTTTCCTGATTATAAACAGCCTTAACAACAAAAGAAAGGACAATGTTGTAGCTTTCTCACAGGATTCAGAGATTCTTTGCCTATGTATTACGAGTATATTCTGAAATCTGAAGAAAGCTGAGTTATACTATAAACCTGAAGTAGCTTAGAAATATACCATTAGGTGGTTAGAGGGAAGTGTATTTCTCTTTAGGAGACTTTCAGTCAAGTAATATATTTTGATCTCTCTGACAGCTCAATTGATAGGGGATGATTGCAGGAGATCATTTTGGATTTGATTGATTTAGTTTTCCGGACAAATCGAGATATATACTTGTGTTGTGATGATACATCACCGTGTGTGATGATGAAAAGAGATGGAGCGACGTCAACTTCTATAAGAAATTCAAGCTACTCACACAGGCTAGTAGTGTTTCTGCATGTCACTGGGGCTTATTTCTAATCTGATATTAATTCTTGTACCTGAGTTTAAGAACACTGCAGCAAGAATTATGATCGACTACCAATTTAACATGAATGAAGTGTAACAGTTATGGCACGCATTGTCAAATACGCTAGCAGATAATACAACGAGGGCACTTGCAAATTGCAATGGACAGAGGAGTGAGCATGGTTTCAATAAAGAGCAATAGTCACTACAAAAGTAACACTATGATTAGTGAAAACTGTAATGACCACATTACATACTTCGTATTTGGTTACACTAGGCAGTACTTTAGATTCATCTGTAGTCCTGCCCGCAATATATTAAAAAACCTATTCATGGCTAGCTTCCAAAACCCATAAGGGCCATAACAGATCAAAATCGGTCCACTATATATGCCACCAATAAACAATGTTCACATGTTTGAAATAATTGCAAACAAAGAGAATAGCTTCAGCAAAATAAAGCAGAAAAACAAAACAGTGCAGGAGCAGAGTATATGTTTATGTTGATCGTCTCAACAACTCAACCTTTTTCCTTGATCAAGTACGTAGGGGGACACATCTGGCTGTAACCTAAACCGGAAAGAGCTATTGAATGCCTATTGAGTTCAAACATTCAATAGTTAAAACCTACAATCATAAGGGTCATTGCCTTATTGGCATAGGATAACATGAAAAGTTCGCAAGTCCTCTGAGAGCAGTGTAGTGTAGTAGTGTACTTTCCTGAGGGCTGAGGCAATCTTACTTCAGATCAGTGCCAGAAAAGTACTAGCGGACAACTTGAACTTCTGGACTTTCATGGAATTCAGCCATTCAGGGGCTGGAATACAACCTCGGTACTTAAACAGTCACCTACTTACACCCCTACTAGAAGATGCAGAGGAATAAGCTATAAAAACATTTTGTGAAAGCAATGGTTAAATGTTGCTGCAATGTTGGAAATTAGATGCCTGCTATGAAAAGAACTAGTACATGATATAGATTATAAACCATCTAGTTATAAGCTAGAAGTGTATCATCGTCAATTACAAAATCGAGTTTTTGTTATTCATTAAACTTTTAAAAAAGATACACGCATCCTTTACATAAGTTCTGCCATTAAAATAATCACATAAACAGATTCAAAAGCAAACTACAACACCCACACATCTCTTGTTCTCTATGTCATATCAAAAAATAAGATATTTGGATGCCATATGAGCAAAAAACATCTGGATGTGACGATATCCTATGTTAAATGAATAATTTCGATATAATCAGTTCCCCATTACCTCATCCAGAAACCAGCTTTGATACGATCATGATAACATTCAAAATTATCAAGGGCAACCTGAAGTATTGAGCTACATAGATAAGACCTACAGCTTGTTGTTTAAGAGACTTTTTTCTGCCTGTTGTAGCTTCAAAACTCAGCCCCCTCGGAGTGAGAAATCTATCCTCATTTAGTATTGCCAAAGCATTTGCAAAAAGCAGGAACCCTTCGATCAACGTCCAAAAACCCATTCACTGCAAACCAAAAAACATCATCTAAATTTGTAAAAGATCTCTTACCTAAACCTTCCCAACAAACACATTAGGGTATTACTCAACAAAAAGATTATCCCACATTCAATTGTAATGAAATTCGAAAACAATTGCTGAACATAAAACAGAATCTAAAAGCATTGGTCTATACAAACAAACAGTTTTATATACCTACACATTCAAGGGGCTGTGTAGTGATTAGTGAGGATAATTTGCTTACTTGTATAGATTATCTGGTGCTTATTATAAACATTCTTAAGCTAATATCGAGAACAGAAAGTAGTCCAACAGCTATTCAGCCTATCCTAACAGTCACACACTCAGATTATGAAAATTGATTTGGATTTACATAAAAGGTAATGCATGCAAAATTAAACCTGGCTATCAGTTCATCCTGTCTTCCAGAACAAAGACAACCCATTACCTCAATGACTCTACACACATTATTTCTCTAAGGGAATGCAAGCTTTAGCATACACAACTTCATAACCTTCCCTGACTATGACAAACTAACATGGGAAACAAAATTTTCACCGTTGACACATAACAAATTTGTATGAAAGAAAATTACACGTCTTGTTTTCCAAACCCTTTTTTTTATTTTCCGTTTTGCAAACAACTCAGCTAAACTGATTGGATGACAGATTTTTATAGAATAACACTGCTGGCCTAATCCCTCACAAATTATCCCCATCAATTTGACAATCAAAGGTGAAATTAATAAAATGCTATGGCCGTTTAATGAAGTAGAAAAATTCCGCCATACTTGTTTACTTTCCACCCATTTGCTCATTTGAGAGAGAGAGAGAGAGGGAGGGAGGGGGGGGGGGGGGGCTCCAAATTAGTGTGGGTGTACACTAGACTCTTCACTTTAACACAAGTATTCATATTGAATCCTCAACACTAAAACTACCAAACACATAGAAAATTTATAAAATAGGCATGTTTGACATTTGGACATGTTGAAGTCCAAGCAAGCCCATCCCTAAACTAGGGAAAGAGGGGCATCCACCCTCCCAAGGAAAAAAAAGGCCTATTTTCATGGTTTCGTCCTGGGCTTCTCGCACAAAAGAGTTACATAAACCAAAGCATGCAACACATTAGCAACCAAAGTTGACTGAATAACCAAGTAGGCTCTAAAAATTACGGTATGTGTTTGGATGCAAGAAATCCATTTATAACTTTTGAAGTGGGTGAAATGAGGTGTTTGGGAACCTAGAAATTTGACATCATGGAATCGGTCCAAATCCTTAAACTATGTTAGAGGCCCATGAATTTATGTAGATCAAAATGACATCCTTTTTTGTTTTCATTTGAAATTCTTCGGCCAACCCAATACCTTATGCTCTCCTAGTCTCGTAGGTACAGTTTCTTGTACATTTAACCACAACTCAATTTCTTTCTCCTCTCCTAAAACCCCTCTCTTACTCATCACTCCATGTACTCAAATTGCAATAAATCGAATTGATTCATTTGAAATGCATTGCTTCATTAAATTGATGCATTGAAGTTTTCGGCCAAACATAGAAGAACCTTTCTTCTATACTTCAAGTTCTATGGAAAGATTGATATTTCTGATTTTTTTTTTTCCCCATTATATTTTTTAAAAGTATTTTTCATGTAGTTTAAATTGATTCTTCTTTGTGAATCCAAATAACAAAATATCCAATGTTCTAAAAAAAATCATTTCAAATTTGTTTTTTAATAACGTTGTTGATAAATTCTTTTTCACCAGTACAATTTTCATTGCTTAGTTGAAGGATCCCATCTTAATTGCGTTACTTCTCCGGTTGAAAATGTACAATTCTAGAATTGAAATCCCACCCACTTTCCAACAATCAAAGTTCAATTGAAATTCTAGATTTCAAATTTTCAGTATTTCCCTAATCAATATTGAAATTGAATTTCAACATTTCATTTCCAACATTTGAAATGAACAATTCCAAAATGAAATCAGATTTCTAAACACTACCTTAAACTCCTCTCGTTTTAGAATATGAAGAGCAAACTTCTAGGCGTTCAGCCAACAAGATCGCTTGTTATAATCATTCATAACTTCAGAATTTATGACAAATAGTTCAATAATCAAATTTAGAATAACCCTAAATTGAAAATACTGGCAATTAAATCAACGATTAACACTAGATTGTGAAATTGATATTCGATTATTAAAATGATGAAAAACATCTTACCTCGGAAGCTGCTTCAATGGAAAAGCGAAAGCTGACGACCCTGTTCAATGAAGAAATCAGAGTAAGCTTCAATGGAGGAGAGAGATAAAGAGAGTACAAACAGGGGAAATGTGAAACAGATCTAAAGAAGAAAAACGGAAAGCAGAGACATTGGAGATTTGGACATACTTCCACCGTTTTAAATTGACAAGCCAGACATATTAAAGAGACAAGTGATGAGAGACAATAAAAGCGAATGATAAAGTAAGTGGGTTACATTAAAAAAGTAAGGTATAAAAATACTACCTCTGTTTTTTTTTTTTTTAGTTGCAACTTTAGGGTATTATTTGAGATATAGAAAATATTTTAAAGTTCTAACTATAAAAAATTGGAGGTAGTATTCAAAATAAAATTGTCAACTAAAACTAAGGGTCTGTTCTTATACGTTTATTTTCAGTTCAGCTCAACTCAGCTTAGTTCAGTTTAGTTCAGTTCAGCTCCTAATTTTTTTCTCTTATAAAATATTCATTTTATTTTAGTTCAGTTCAGCTCAGCTCAGTTCAGTTCAGTTGAGTTCAGTCTTTGAGAACAAGCCCTAAATTGCCTAACAAAGAATACGTGTCAACTTAAAAATCGGATACAAGTATATATTATTAGCACGCCTATTACATCAACCTTAAAACAAAATGTATGGAGAGCCTTTTAGGTGTTGGAAAAATAAATGATGAAAACATGTAATACATATTTTCAAGGGCAAAAATATCCATATATTATTTTTATAAGTCGAAAATACAACTATTTTTTGACGAATAAAATACATTTAACATTAACAAGAATAAAAAAGTAATTTAACATTTTAGAGGGCATAATGTTCCTACAAACCTACACTATTCATAAGAGTTGATCATTAAATCATACCTCCAGTATCTTATGCCTAAGATCCATACTGGAATTAGTCAATCTCATTTTATCCCCCCTCTAGATGATCATGTTAGTAGTCCCCCTATTCCTTGGATGTTGTCTGTTTTTACTAACTCAGCGAAGAGGTCTAAGTCTGTTTGTAGTTTTAATTCTTGCGTCGAGTTTGTTGGGAGCTAGTCTCCTTTTACCTGTTGTTATATTAAAAAAAAAAAAAAAAAAAAAAAAAAAAAAAAAAAAAAAAAAACATTAAATCATACAAGGAAAAGCTTGGAGGTAATTAACATTATAATAATAGGTTAACCTTTAGCGCATAGCTATTATTTATTAGCAAACATATAGGATGGAAAATGTACCACTACATGCATAATAGGTGATAGGTGGTAAGTATTTTAGGAAAAATTTTCCAACCTATAAGATGATAAAAAGTACCACTACATGCATAATAGTACACAAAAAATACTTTTAAGACAACTTATACTTTAATGGTACATTATACATGCATAATGGTACACATGGTACATTATAATGTACCATTGTAAAGTCAGCTTTTATCCAGAAACTTGCAAAATTTACATTTTTTCCCTCCGATTTGCTTTGTAAATGCATAGCAGTTATGCGCTAAGATGCACTCATAATATTAGAGGCATATAAGTAAACAAATATTTTGAGAATATAATTGTCTTCACCTTGTTTATAATTATTTTATTATACTTTATAAAAGATAGAGATTGCGCTGGGTTTGAATTGGTTTGACCTGAGAAACCTTAAATTCAAACTTGTTTTATGTAACTAATCTGGAATTTTATTGAAATTAGTTTCATGATCAACAACCCAAATCAACCTAGAATATGCACTCATAATAATAGGGGCATATAGGCAAATAAATATTTCAAGGATATAATTGTCTCACCTTATTTATAATTGTGTTATCATATTTTATAAAAGGTGGAGAGATTGAGCTGGGTCTTAATTGATTTGACCCGCAATACCTTAAATTAAACTCGTTTTATATAACTAATCTAGAATTTAGTTGAAACTAGTTTCATGATCAACAATCCAAATCAACCTTCATTATCTAACTGAAGCTAGGGTTTTTTTATTCCTATATTTTTCTTTGAAAACAGCCGAAGCTAGTTAGACTTGATAGTTTAACATCTAACCACTGAAAGCATCTATCTATACTTAGGCCTTTTTTAATTCACCTTATTTATACTTATTTCAGACTAAATAAGTTTAGATCAGATTTGATCAGATAAAATAAGTTCAGATCAGATCAGTAAAAATAAGTTCAGATCAGATGATCGTTTTATATGCAGTTTTTTATCACTAAATATCTTTAATTTCGTAATGGTAAAAATTATGAAAATCGCTCATTAATAAAGTACATTATTACAAATCTAACAAGACCCCACTTGATGTATTTTTTCCGTATAGATTATCGTATATTTAAGGTCAAAGTTTTAGTCAAATTTGACATTCAGACTAGATCAGATCAAATCAGACAAGACCAGATCAGATAATTTCAGATAAGCGAAAATAAGGTGAACCAAACAAGCCATTGGTGTTTGGGGTAAAAATACCCTAAACACGTGGCCCAATGGCCTAGTGACACGTGGCATCCAGCCGTTGGTCAGCAGGGCTCCAATCCTCTGCTGGCACGTGTCCTCTAAACCCGAAAAGGGAAACCATCCCTTCCCCACTATAAATAGTGGAAGGACCCTCATTAATGGGGGGCTGGAACATTTGTTGTTCACATTGAATACTCCTCAAAAAGAAAAACACTTACCCCGAGCAATATTAATTGCAGAATTCTCCCATTACGCGAGAAGTAACTTCTACATTACGTGCATTCTACCTCCCGTATCTTTACTAACTTGATCGTCGGAGGCGGAGCTCCTACCCCCAGGAGTCTTCGTGATTTTGCAGGCACAGGCGTCGAAGGGCATTCTTGGAATTGTAACTCTCCCGCAGGACACATCAAAAAACCCCCGAAACATTTGGCGCCGTCTGTGGGGAGAGTACTTCTAAGATGACTTCTGATACTGTGTCACCGAATCAGGGCAAACGGCCTGTGGTCGAGCCTGAGGTCCAGACGGACCATGAAAGTGGAGACGAAATTGAAACATATGTGGCCCCGGATGGGTCTTTCAGAACGAAGCACCCTCGTGCTAAAGATAGAAGAGAACGGGAAATCAGCCAAGCTGCTCCCAGCAACCCAGCCGGGCAACCGGCTGGAATTGCCCAAACGGTGGAGGGCTCAGCCCCCGTTACAAGAAACGAACTCATGTCTTTCATGAATAGTTTCAAGGGTGAGATCAAGAGCCTCATCCGGTCAGCTACTCCAAAGAAGGATCAGCCGGCCAAGAAGCCTTCTGGAAAGAAGGCGGTCAAAGAACGAGTTCCTACCCCTCATCCCAAGCCAAAGGAGGGGGAGGGCTTAAGGTTTGATCCAAGCAGACTCCGTTTTCCTCAAGGGGAGCTGCGAAAGGCCATCCGACACGTACAGCCGGATGGCTCCAAGAAAACATTCTCAGACGCCCGCACATTTCTCCAAGAGAAGCGAGGTCAGGCGTCTGCGTCGGCCTCAACGTCGACCTTCCCGGACAGTTTCCATGACGTCTCACACAGGCGTACGGGAACGAACCTTAGGAGCCAGACGGGCGAAGCTTCTGCCCGGTCTGGACCCAAAGTGATCCAGCCTGGCCTATTCGGCACACCGAATGGGTTGGGTGGATCCCCTTTCATGTCACCGGGTCTTTTCGGTGGGCAAGCGCAGCAGCCGTTCCAACCCACGGACTGGCAGCTGCGCCTGCTAAATTTTGGGGAACAGCCAACGACGTTCTCACCAGAGATAACCCAGGCGGCACAGCCGCCTAAGATCAAGAATGTTTTGGTGGGGGCCTATGACGGCACCACCAACCCAGAAGACCATCTAATGGCCTACTCTAACCTCATGTACCTCCAGGGGTTAGATGATGCCGTCTGGTGTCGATGCTTCCCGGCTACCCTCAAGGGCATAGCCCAGCGGTGGTTTGGTAACCTACCAGCCGGTTGCATCAACAGCTTTCGAACTTTGGCGTACTTGTTTACGTCAAATTTCTCAATGAATATTCCTGCCAAAAAGACTAGCCTCGACCTAGGGGCAATACAGCAGGGCGACCAGGAGGGCCTCCGGTCATACGTCAGACGGTTCAATCTGATGAGAATTCAGATTCCAGGACTATCAGACGAAGTGGCCTATACAGACTTCTTTCGAGGTCTGAAGGATGGGTCGACCTTTAAGTTTGACCTCGTCCGGAAGAGGGTTGCTACCCTCCAAGAGGCGTTAATTGAAGCTGAAGCCTATATACAGGCGACGGAGCTTTGTGCTGTCAAGCAGCCGTCAGATTATAAAAAGTCTGACAAAAAAGAGAGCCGGCAACAGCATCAGCCGGCAAGAAAGGAAGAAAAGAGAAAAGGGGTCTGGGCAGCTGACCGATCAGGACAGCCGGCCTAGAAGATCAGGCGGAAGCCAGAACCGTATGCTCCCAAATACGAGTTCGCAAAAGATTGCTCCACCATCCTCCTGGAAATCAAAGACCGGATGTCTCTCGACAAACCGGCTGAAATGAAAAGCCCCGTGAATAAACGGGACAAGAGCAAGTATTGCCAATACCACGAGGATGTTGGCCACGACACCAACGGCTGCTATAGCCTCAGGCGGCTATTGGACCGTCTGGCAGATGAGGGGGCCCTAAAATCCTACCTACCCAAGGCTAAGGGTAATACCCAGGCCAAGAAAGGGCAGGCGGCAAAAACCGGCCCAGTAAACTCCGAGACGGATGAAGAGACCATCTTCACCATAGCAGGCGGTTTTGCCGGAGGGGGTCCCACCATCCGGGGCACCAAAGACAACATCAGGAAGCTGGTCAACTCAGTGGATGAGGGCCAGGCGTCGAAAGACATCTTCCCTGAGGTCCTTATTTCTGAAAAGGACCGGGGCAAGGTCAGGCGGCCTCATGATGACCCCATCGTCATCGAATGCAAGGTTGCCAACCAGAAGGTTGGCCGGATCCTAATAGACACCGGGAGCTCGTCTGACCTAATCAGTTATCAGTGCTTGACCAAGCTCAAGTACACATCCGGTAACATGCACCAGGCTCCTCACCCACTAGTCGGTTTTGGGGGTGGAGTAGTGCATCCGGTCGGAAGCATAGATCTTCCGATCCGGCTGGGTGAAAAGGGGCAAGGACGCCACATGATAGTCAAGTTTTTAGTTGTGGAGGAGCTGTCCGCCTACAACATGATATTTGGCCGTCCTACCCTCAACGCATCTAAGGCTGTCATCATCCCGTCCCTCATGTTGGTCAAATTTCAAAAGGATGA